TTTGTATCCCCCATAAGATGCCGAAACAAACAAACAAAAAAATATGAAATATGGGTGTTATGAAAAGCTTGATGAAAGTCATGAGGAAAAGTAGTCATTTTAAAACTGACCTATGACAAGTGAATGATGTATAGGGGATTTATTTAGTAAAGAAATAGGAACCTGAACATGGGTTTAAATTGTAGCAGAAGGAGCTGTTAAAGATTAATAACCACTTTTATTAGTTTAATAGTAAAAACTCCTCCTCTTCATGTTTTTTTATACACGACGGAGAGTTTTTAATATTGAAAGGTGACAAGTCTAGAATTAGTTACTGAAAGAAGTTTAGGGTCTAATTTTCTGGGGCTAGAAATAGGTGTCTGATAGTTTAAGGCAGGTGTCCTCAAACTAACGGCCTGTGGGCCACCTAGCACATTTATCCGGCCCTCCGGGTGTTTTTGCTTCCACTGCCTGTCCTGCTTAGCAGCTGACTGGTCCCGGGTCCACAGAGCACACTCTCCAATGGTTTGAGGGACAATGAACTGGCCCCTTGTTTAAAAAGTTTGAGAACCACTGGTTTAAGGCATTCATTCATTTATTCGGCCAACATTTACTGAATACCCACCCTGAGCTGGCATGGCTCCAGGCCCAGGCAGGTTCACTGCATAGAAAATCTGTAGAGAATGTGGAGATTCTATATCCAAAGTTTTCTCTATGAATTGATAAGGAAGAGAATCACCCGATTGTTAACAAGGATCAGTAAAACAATCAGAAAGACTTTCCCAGAAGAAATGTATGCTTTGATAAGGAAAAGCTCATTTTTGCAAAACACTTGCATGGCAGTTATCCAACTGGATGGCCTTTTACCTTAAAATCTTTAGCAGATTGCTTTTTTGGGGCCTTATTTTTATCCTAGGCAAAATTGGGGTGGTACTATAATTTTTGAGATGATAGTATGAAAATGAATTAGGTAGTATTATATGATATCTTTAATAAAAAAGAAAACTAGTACCACTGTTTTATTCTCATTATTACATAAGATTCATATAGTCCTGTCAATTTATAAAGAACATTTCACTTATTCGTTGTCATTCTTGTAAGTGCTTAGGAAACTGTTTCATAATTGGCTTTCCTTTTCGCATGTCGGGAAACAACAGCTTGGAGAGGACACAAGTTTTCTTTCCAGGCAAGTGTGTTGGGTGTGGGAGATGGGAAGGGGTGAAAGTAGAGATTGGAGACAGGGAGACCATTTAGTTTGGCTATTGCAGTTGTCCCTTAGGAGAAGCCAAGACTGTGGACAAGAGCAGGAGCTTTGTGAATAGAGAGAGCTGCTATGTTGGGAATTGAAACCCTAGAACTTGTTCCCTCATTGTTCAATGGGATATACAGGAGAGGGAGGAATCAAGGTTGACTGATTGTGGGTTCTACATTTATTTCTGCGTAGGCTATATAACAACTGTAAATAAATACATAAAAATAGTTGGGGTCTTATGTGGCTGTTAATTGTTATATTCTGGGCAGAAAGTGAACACTGTCTGCACCTAGGAGATTAGAATTAGAATTTGAATGGTGCATTAAATTCCCTTGGGGAATGTTATGAACCACTGCATTTCTTTTGAGAAAGGAAGTTACTACTGCATCTGGAAGATAGGACTAAACTGCCATAGCGAGAGGGAATGATAAATGTTTGTCCTGAGTGCTCAAGACCTTTAACCATAACCCTATGATTGAATCTGGAGTAGCAGCACCCACATTTTAAAATAGATAATTTCTCAAGTGATGGGACGTGGAAAGTGTTCCATGGCTATGGTTTAGAGAACGCCAACCTTTTTGGCACAGCGGACCAGTTTCATGGGAGAAAATTTTTCTATGGACTGGGGTGTAGAGGATGGTTCAAGCACGTTACATTTGTTCCATTTGCAGCCTCTCCCCAGCACTAGCATCACGGCTTCAGCTCACCTCAGATCGATCATCAGGCAGTAGATTCTCATAAGGAGCAGGCAACCTAGATCCCTCTATGTGCAGTTAGGGTATGGGGTTCATGCTCCTCTGAGAGTCTAATGCCGCTGCTGATCTGATAGGAGGCAGAGCTCAGGCGGTGATGCGAGTGATGGGGAGCCGCTGTAAATAAAGGTGAAGTTTCACTTGCTGGCTGGATGCTCACCTCCTACTGTGTGCTCAGTTCCTAATAGGTCGTGGACCAGCGGTTCGGGACCTCAACTTTAGAGTACATTCATTTCATAGGGGTCAGAAGTTTTTGTTTAAAACCACAAGAGGAGGCCGGGCGTGGTGGCTCACACCTGTAATCCTAGCACTCTGGGAGACCGAGGCAGGTGGATCGCTCAAGGTCAGCAGTTCAAAACCAGCCTGAGCAAGAGTGAGACCCTGTCTCTACTAAACAAATAGAAAGAAATTGATTGGCCAACTAAAAATATATATAGAAAAAATTATCCGGGCATGGTGGTGCATGCCTGTAGTCCCAGCTACTCGGGAGGCTGAGGTAGAAGGATTGCTTGAGCCCAGGATTTTGAGGTTGCTGTGAGCTAGGCTGACACCATGGTAATCTACCCTGGACAACAGAGTGAGACTCTGTCTCAAAAAAAAAAAAAAATTAATTGAGCTGCTTCTACTTCAGTAGCACAGCTAGTAGGAACGGGGCTGACGCCAGGCCAGTCACCCAAGCCAGACCATGAATCAAAAACAATTTATAAAAAAAAAAAAAAAAAAAAACCAACAAAAGAAACACAAGAGGGTGTCTGTGGAGCCCTGGGCATAGTGGTCAGAGGCCAGTGTCATGGGCTGGGTCCAGTTATGGATTTACATGATCTTTGGGGCAAGCAGATAAATTTGTGAAGTTTTGTGGTGACAGAGGCTTTTGAAGACAAGTACTGCCACCCCCTGCCAATTTTTACATGATTAGTAGTGGAATCACAGTAACTTGCTGTGGAATTACTTCAGAGACATTTAAATGCTCTCAAGGTCAAGGTTAGTTCATTTTGCTCCATCACAAGACTTCCTTTTCAAGCTCACACCTTTGCTTTTAGATTAAAAAAAAAAAGCCAAAGGATTACTTTTTTATTTTAAAATATTGTAACAAAATAATAACTGGAGCCCTTTTTTTCATATAAAATATCTAGCATTAAACTGATTACTTTTATAATAGAAAAGAACAAATGATTGTTGTTTGTTTATAAATTTTTTTAGTTCCATCCAGAAATGTAGTTAAGAACTCTATTAACAGAAACAAAATTGTTCATTAGCTTTGCTTTTTGATTATATTTAGTAATTTGGAGTGCTGACTTTTAGGACAGATAGGACTTAATTAGGTTTACTTTTCTCATTTGGTACATTTGACTCTCCAAAGTGCTTTTTCAGAGCATGCCCCTGAAGCAACAAAGAAAGTAGAGAATTTAATTCCAGATTTCATTAGTTCACTTTCTGTGTGTGTTTAAATTTTTAATCTTGTTCTATATTTTATGTATGGAGAACTTTGAATAGTTACAAATTAGAGAGTAATATAGGGAGTCCTTCTTCCCTATTGCTCAGTTTTACACCAGCCACCCGTGGTCCTCATCCACCCTTCATACGTCCCTTCTGTGTTATTTTGATGCAAGTCTCAGACAGTGTACCGTCTGTGAGGTATTTTCATTTTTAGGTAGAAAGGGTATCATAGTGAGTCCACTTGCTGATTGACTGGGGGCTGGATGGCTGGACCTTATTTTTATTATTATTTTTTTAAAATATTTATTTATTTATTTTTTGAGACAAGAGTCTCACTTTGTTGCCCAGGCTACAGTGAGTGCCATGGCATCAGCCTAGCTCACAGCAACCTCAATATCCTGGGCTCAAGCAATCCTACTGCCTCGGCCTCCCGAGTAGCCGGGACTACAGACATGCGCCACCATGCCTGGCTAATTTTTTCTATATATATTAGTTGGCCAATTAATTTCTTTCTATTTTTATAGTAGAGACGGGGTCTCGCTCTTGCTCAGGCTGGTTTTGAACTCCTGAGCTCAAGCAATCCACCCACCTTGGCCTCCCAGAGTGCTAGGATTACAGGCGTGAGCCACCGCGCCTGGCCTTGGACCTTTAAAATGGACAGGCTTTGAGGGCGCTCTGGGGCTTGGTGGGAGGGCCACTGGCAAGGTGAGTTATTTTGAATTTCTGCAGCTCTTAGTAGGATTTGATGAATGTCTCCTCTAAAGTGTAACTTAGATTTTGTGTGTTGTCTCTGAAATTATTACTTAGCACTCTGCCATCTTCCAAAAAGATGTGGAGATAACATAAAAAATGTACATAAAATTTAAAAAGAGAGGAAGAAATCAGTGGAAAGAGTGAATGAGGATCATCTTGTCATATGAAGCCAATCACAGTGAATATAAGACCAGCACAGTGTTGTAACGGTGATCAAAGGTGTGCTGGTAGATTTTCTGGTGGTCAAAGTCAACAGGAAACACAGTTAGTTTTATGTTAATATTGTCCTCCAGATTTCTTAATTATATCTTTCCATATCACTAAAGAGAAATTTCCCCTGCAGGATCTTCTAAAAGGGGTCATTGATGTGTGTGACTGTCGGTGGTATTGGAGTAACTTGGTCTCTGAGCTGATAGCTCCCAGGGTAGTTTGGAGCACTTTTTTCACTTGTTTTAGAGGTTTGCAGATGTAATACCAACAGTAACTATCTATAATTTATTGAATAGCTATTATGCATGACACATCCAGGTATTTTTATTTTATTTAATCTTTAACATATTCGTTCCATAGATTTTTTTCCCTATTTTTCTCCTTTTTCAGGTGAAGAAATTGAAATTCAGAGAAAATAAATAATTTGCTAAAGTTACAATAAAATAAATCCTGGCATGTGTTTAGCTCATTGCCTAACTGGAAATGTGATCACTTTGGAGAGGACAGGGTTGTGGGCTTGTGGTTCCCAAGGGGCCTTTATATTGATGGTTGGTGTTCACGATTGCTGTGTTGTTATTTTCATTGCACATTGCCAATTCTGGATTCTTTTAATGCAGAAAGAAAAGGAGCAGCAGGAAGAAAAAACTAGTTTGTTCAGGAGCACGGGGAAGAATGAAGATGGTGAAAGAAGAGCTATGATAACTCCTGCTCTCCGAGAAGCCCTTACTAAACAAGGTGAAAATCCTTGAAATTGTTATGTTACTGTCCTCTTAGGCATTCTAATTTAATTCCTAAGAGATGAAGCATTAAATAGGGACTGCCAAGAGATAAAAGATAATGAAGTCTCTTCTCTAGTTAGCTCAGCAGTTGTGTTACAGTGGCAGATGTAACTGCCTAAAGATTCACCTTCTTGTTTCTGTGATCATTGTTTTAATTAGAGTAGACTATATTAAAGTGATTTTATTAATAGTATAGATTTACATTGTTCATTATTTATAAACTGCTTGAAATGAATACTTAATTTAAGTTTGCACTTTAATACCAAACACTCATTTTAAAGTAGGTTAAGTGATTGTGGTTCATCTTTATTAGCTTTGTGAAATTCTGAAGGAATCAAATAATTCATGATAATTTAAATTTTCTTCAGATTATTGATTTTTGATACAGTATTTCTTTCCTCTCGATAGTTTTTTTTTCTCTCTCTCTCTCTCTTCTCTCTCTCTCTGTCTCAATTACCGTGTTCATTGTCATTGACCTCAGCAGCAAATTTATCTTGAATTCACTTAGGATCACAGGAATCAGGAGAAAGTGATTTAAAAGGTGGTTTCTCCAGCACATTTTAAGAAAAGGGACCAAAAGTTATTTTAGCTTCCTCAATAGATTGCATGTTGCTTATTAGGAGAATAAATTAATATTAAATGCAATATATGTCTTGTCTTTACTATGGCATCTGTTTAGGAGTTGTTCAAATCGCTGCAGTAGAGCTCTGCAAATAAAATCATGTAACCTATTATCATGGATCTAATGTGCTGTAATTTTATCAGTGAAAGGTAAAATCTCAAATAACAAGTACAAACATTTAACAATTACCTATAAAGATTTGTAAAAGTAAAATTTTTCCAATAGATTTCATTCTTGTCATTTTGTAAGACGACCCTGCAGTCCACCTGTTTGTAACTTTTTAAATAAAATAGACATCTGTAAAAAAAAAATAGTATAGATTTAAATTTATCATCTTAACTATTTGTTTTCTACTTATGTTTTTTTTTTTTTGAGACAGAGTCTCGCTTTGTTGCCCAGGCTAGAGTGAGTGCTGTGGCGTCAGCCTAGCTCACAGCAACCTCACACTCCTGGGCTCAAGCAATCCTGCCTTAGCCTCCCGAGTAGCTGGGACTACAGGTATATACCACCATGCCTGGCTCATTTTTTCTATATGTATTAGTTGGCTAATTAATTTCTTTCTATTTATAGTAGAGACGGGGTTTTGCTCTTGCTCAGGCTGGTTTCGAACTCCTGACCTCGAGCAATCCGCCTGCCTTGGCCTCCCAGAATGCTAGGATTACAGGCATGAGCCACCGTGCCCAGCCTTATCTATTTTTTGATTTCCTGTTTACTATTTTTCTGGTTTCTTTTAGATTTAATTTAATTTTTTTATGTTTCTATTTTATATCTTTGTTGGCTTATAGCTATAATGCCTTTGCTATTTAGCAGTTGCTTGAGGTTTTATACTATACTTTCATCATCGCATAGTATATCTTTGGATGGTATGCCACTTCATGTATAGTAGAACCTTACAATTGTATATTCCCATTTTTCCCTTCTTAATCTTTATGAAGTATCATACATTTTACTTTTATATATGTTATAAACCCTACACTACATTACTATTTTGGTTTAAACAGTCAGTTATCTATTACAGATTTCCGTAATTGGAATTGTGCATATTTACTCTAGTTGCCACGTTCCGTATTCCTCAGTCCCTTGTGTAAATCTGTGTTCCATCTGTTACCTTTTTCTTTCTGCCTGATGGACTTTTTAAGTTTCTTGTAGTACGGGTTTGTTGGTGATGAGTTCTTTAAGCTTTTGTATATATGAAAAGGCTTTATTTTGCCTTCACGTTTGAAGGATGTATTTTACTGGACATAGAATTATGGGTTGAAAGCTTTAATTTTTTCTTTCAGCCCTTTAAAGATAATGCTCCACTGTCCTCTTGCTCACATTGCTTCTGATGAGAGGTCAGCAGTGTCATCCTTTTGTTTGTTCCTTCAAATATAATCCCACCACCACTTTTAAGATTTTCTCCTTATTACTCATTTTGAGCAATTTAATTATAATGTACCTCACTGTAGTTTTCATTTTTTGTTTTTAACCTGGGTTTTGTTGAACTTCTTAGCTCTGTGCATTTACAGTTTTCATCAAATTGAACAAATATTGGCCATTATTTCTTCAACTGTTTTTCTGTCACTGCACGCACCGCCACCCTCCAGCTTCCTTTTGGAATGCAATTGCTTGTGTAATAGGCTGCTTGAATTTGATCCACAGCTCACTGATGCACTATTCATTTTTTTTTTTTTCTTTTTTGAGACAAGGTCTTGGTCTTTTGGGGCTAGAGTACAGTGGCGTCATCATAGTTCACTGCATGTTCAAACTCCTGGGCTTGAATGATCTTCCTGCCTCTGCCTCCCTAGTAGCTGGGACTACAGGCATGGGCCACCATACCTGGCTAATTTTTCTATTTTTTTGTAGAGACAGGGTCTCTTGCCTAGGCTGGTCCCAAATTCCTAGCCTCAAGTAGTCCTTATACCTTGGCCTCCCAAAAGTGGTAGGATTACAGGTGTGAGCCACCACACCTGGCCTGCATTATTCATTTTTAAAAATTCTTTCTTTTGTCCCACTGTTCATTTTGGAGAGTTTTTATCACTATGTCTTTTAAGTTCGGTAGTCTTTTCTTCTCTAATGTCTAGTCTTCCATTAGTCCTATTCACTGTATTTTTCAACTTGGGCATTATAGTTTTCATTTCTACAAGTTCAGTTTGGATCTTTTTATATCTTCCACATCTTTTAACTTTCTGAGCCTGTGGAATACAGTTATAACTGTTTTAATGTCCTTAGCTGGTAATGTCTGTGTCATTTCTGGGTCAGTTTTGGTTGATGTATTATTTTCCTCATTGGTCATGTTTTCCTACTTGTTTGCATATCTGGTAATCCTTGATTGGATGCCAGACCTAATTTTTCCTTATTAGGTGCTGGATATCTTTGTGTAAACACTTTTATAAGCATTTTTGAGCTTTTTGGGAGACAGAGGTAAATTACATGGAAATAGTTTGAGCTTTGAGTCTCCCTTTATGACTTAGGTTAGGTTAGGTGAGACCAGAGCCAGCTTGGTAAAGGGCTAATTATTCCTTACTATTGAGGCAAAACATTTCTGTGTGTTTTACTCAATGCCTTGTACATCTTGAGGTTTCCAGTCTGACTGGTAGGATAGGTCCAATTCCCAGCCTGCTATGAGCACCAGGCATTCCCTTAATCCTTTCAAATGGTTCTTTCCCATTCTTGTGTAGTTTTTCTCTCACGTGTACACTGGTCAGTACTCAGGCAAATACTTGATAAGAATCCTCTGCAGAATCTTGAGTCTCTCTGTATAGCTTTCATCTGTCTGGTACTCAGTCCTGCAAACTCTAGCCATCTTGGTCTCTTCAGACTCAGCTTTATTTCCTCAACTTGGAGAATCCACTGGACTTTGCTTGGGTTGCCTCTCTTTGCTTTGTGGCCTGGAAACTTTCCAGACAGTAAGCTAGGATAATGGTAGGGCTCATCTTGTTTGTTTCCCATCTCTCTGGAATTACTGTCTGTTGTTGCATGATGTTTTGCATCCTGAAAACTGTTGTTTCATAAATTTTGTCCATTTTTGGTATTTTAGGTAGGTTAGTAAATTCTCTCTGTTATTCCATGTGGGCTAGAAGCAGAATTCTGCACTATGATTTTCAGCCACTGCATACTGTTGGCTGATCTTTGCATTGTGGTCAACCTTAGTTCTCTTTTGTTCTATAATGTGCAGTTTTTTCCATACCTAAATGCAAAATTTTATAGGACCATGTATATCTCAGGAGAAAAAATATAAAGAATTAATATATGGCCGGGCGCGGTGGCTCATGTCTGTAATCCTAGCACTCTGGGAGACTCAGGCGGGCGGATTGCTCAAGGTCAGGAGTTTGAAACCAGCCTGAGCAAGAGCAAGACCCCTGTCTCTACTAAAAATAGAAAGAAATTAATTGGCCAACTAAAATACATAGGAAAAAATATTAGCTGGGCATGGTGGTACATGCCTGTGGTCCCAATTACTCGGGAGGCTGAGGCAGGAGGATCGCTTGAGCCCAGGAGTTGGAGGTTGCTGTGAGCTAGACTGACGCCACGGCACTCTAGCTAGGGTAACAAAGTGAGACTCTGTCTCAAAAAAAAAAAAGGATGTAATGTATAAACAACATAATATGGGAATCCAATAGAAGAACTAGAAGTTTCTCTGGGAATCTTTTAAATCCTTATTCTGTATCAGAGATTAGTCAGTTCAGTTGGATTCAGTTCCATCTTCAAGTAGATAAGCAGTGCTTTATTTATATGCAAGATGTTTACATAAATGTGGAAGAGGATAAAAGATACAATGCTATAAATATTGCCACTAGAGACTTGTAGTCCAAATTGACTTTGTTCCAATAATCATCACACTGTGAATATAGATGTTTAACCAGCCTCTGATCCACTTATGCCATCATCTAGACTGTATTTTTCCGTTTGCTTCTTTTGCCTGCAAGACTTTTTTTGTGCAAGAGACTCATAATTGTGGCTTATTATTTGAAGCTTCATGTGAAACTTTATTGAAAAAAAATGAAATAGAAGAAAAAAATTTTGAATTCAGATCCTTAAGGGGAAAAAAATGAAATAGAAACTTTATTGGATGTTTCCTGAAATCAGGATGTTCTACTTATTTATTTTACTGATTTGTTTAAAAAGGAAATGAGATTATATTGCCATGGCTTTTTTCATGCTTTTTATGTTTTATGTGACTCAAAACTTTTAAATGATAGGTTATGGAGTGGTACTGAGAAATTCACATTAGGTTCCTAGTATTTGATTTTTCCCTTTTTGGGTTAACATTTGTTGGTTTTAATCTCCTGGTGCCCATCTGATTCTTCATCATTTTACAAAGATTACTGATGATAATTCCCTAGTCATTCCTTTGAAATACATTGTTACTTTTGCTTTATAGCCCTGCATATGGTTTAATTCTACAAAAGTTCCATAGATCCTTGAAAAGAATGTGTATTCCATAATTGTTCAGTGCAGGGCTCTGTAAATGTTCTTGGTCATGTTTATTTATTGTGTTACTAAATCTTTTTAGAGCTTACTGATTTCTGGCCTATAAAATCTGTTAGATACTGAGAAGTTGAAATCTTCTTATATGATTTTGGTTTAACATACTGTTTCTTTATGTATTTTGAGTCTATGTCATTAGACACATATACATTTTAAATTGTTTTCTCAGCCTCTGGAATTAAACTTTTAATGTTTTCACCTATGGGGTTGTTGACTGCTATAATTTAAGCAAAGAAAAATTATTTTGCTAAATTTTAATTATTACCTTTTAATATAAGGCTTTGTGTCAGTTCAATTTTGTGTTCCTTGCTTTTCCATTCAGGTTATCAGTTGATTGGGAGCCACTCTGGGGTGAAGCTTTGCAGGTGGACAAAGGTATTTATTTGTTTTTATTCAAATGTTGTTTCTATGACATACAACTTTTATATGGCTATTATATGCAGCCAGTAAACTTACCATTTAAAGGTCTAATTTAGTAAAATGCACAGATTTTTAAATGAATTTTTTTAATGAGTTCAGCAAATTTTGATGGATGTAGAACCCATATCCACCAACCCCAATTAAGATATAAGCTGTTTTCGTCACCCTAGTGAATTTACTTGTTCCCATTTCTAGTCAGTAACTCTGTCCCCCTACCCAATTATTTCAATTGCTATCCCTGTAACTTAGTTTTGCCTTTCTAGAATTTCATATGAATAGAATCATACAATGTGCAATCTTTTGTAAGTAGCTTCTTAAATTCAGTATATTCCTGAGGTGCATTCATGTTGTATCATGTACCAATAATACATTCATTTATTGCTTGGTAGTATTCCATTGTATGAATACACCACAGTTTTTTTTATCTTTTGATAGACATTTGGTCTGTTTTTAGTTTTTGGCTATTATGAATAAAACTGCTATGAATATTCTTTCACAATAATTTTTTGTGAGCGTATATTTCAATTTTCCTTGGTTAAATCCCTGGAGGTGGAATTGTTGCGTCATAGGCTAGGTATATATTTTACTTTATGGGCAACTCCCAAACTGTTTTGCATGTGGTTGTCCTGTTTTGTACTTGTATCAGCAATTTAGGAAAGGTCTGTTGCTATACTTTCTCACCATCATGTGGTATTGTCTTTTAATTTTAGCCATTCTAATGGATATGAAATACTATCTCATTGTGGTTTTAATTTACATTTTGGTAGTGATTGTTAATGACTGAGGAACACCTTTTTATGTACATATTGGCCCTTCATACTTATAAAGTGTTCACATATTTTATCCAAATTGGGTTTTTGGACTTAATTCTATTGATATCAAGAAGTTCTTTATATATTGTTGATGTGAATCTTTTGTCAGATATGCATTGTGACTGTTTCCTAGTTTATGGCGTCCCTTTTCATTTCTCTAATGGTATCTTTTGAAAATTTTAATTTGGTTACAGTCTAGTTTATTGTTTTTTTTCTTTATAGTTAGTGCTTTTTGTATTTTAAGAAATCTTTGCCAATCTCAAAGTCTCAAAGATATTCTAGATTTTCTTTTAGAAGCTTCATATGTAGTTTTAATATTCATGTGTAGGTCTGTGATTCACCTTGAATTAATTTTTATGAATGGTGAGAGGTAAGGGTCAAGGTTCATTCCTCTACCCCCAATACGGATATCCAGTTGTTTTTGCATCATTTGTTGAAGACTTTTGTCAGCCTAAATAACAGAACAGAGAGAGGCTAAGAGAAAATGATGTTTATTTGGGAATAGAGCATTGTAGTGGGAATATTCATGCTATAGTAAATTATGTGCGTATTCAGGGAAGTTAGGAAGACAAAGGTTTTGAAAGGAAAAAATGAGGATTACATAATTATTTTGAAATAGTTATTCTTGGCTACAAAGGTCAATAACAAGGGTGATGCCAATCTGAGATTAGGCAGTTGCTAGGCAGATGTCCTTGCAAAAATATAAGGTTTTGTATAAGATTGTGATGGCCTTTGTGCAAGGTTATGGTTTTTATAGAAGCGTTTTTGTTATCAGGCATACAGGCATGAGAACCCTCTCTTCATGGGCTTCCCCAGCTCTGTTTGTCAGGGTTTTCTTAACATTAGTGACTCATTTTGATTCTGACAGCTTTCATATTTCTCTTTTAATCAAGATCTTTCTCCAAAAGCATCACTGATCAATCATCCTGTAAGTGAGGTTTTGATGTCCCTTGATGCCAGGATGGGCCTTTCCTGGTTGCTGGTCTTTTCCTGTGTTGGAAGTAGTGATTGTTGAGTAAGAGTCAGTGTCAAAACTCTTTTAACCACATGTGAACAGAAAGAGAGATTGGAAGAGAGTGACTCTCAGGCCAAGTCTACTTGGAGTTTTTAAAAAAAGTTTTTAAAGTGCTGGGCCAGCATTATTTCGTTAGGAGTTGTAGTTCTGCTAAAACTTGACAGGTAACAAATACAAAGTTTAAAAAGAGAAAATACAAAGTGAACTTAATAGTAATGTGACAGTTCCATTGAGCCATGAACCTAGGCTTACAGACAACCAATTGAATAAATCAAATGACGATAGGGAATTAGGTGAGACCTGTTGTAACCTGTGGCCTATTTTGTTATTTCGTGTATATCGGCCTCCACTTTGTCAGAGGAATTTATTCAGGTACAACATGTAGTATTAGCATTGGCACAGACATTTTCTTATTTAACCAATGGATACTAAAGGATTTAAGTTAAGGTCTGTTAAGTTATTAATACCAGCAGAAGCTATTGATTATAAAATTTCAATCACATCATTATCCTGCCAAGTGGAAAAGGTAGCATTAAAGGGGGTAAAGTCTCATTATGATGTAAAGTCTTGTTCCCTTGTCTTGGGAAAGGCTGTTTACAGTGTGAATACATGAACTTTTTCTCCTTGTTTGTAGTTAGAATACCTGACATTGGGACAGTTTGATGAACTTTTTTTGTGGAGTTCATATATCAGGCATGAGGCTTGTTTCTTTATTTTTTTTAATTTAATTTTTTTTATTTTAGCGTATTATGGGGGTACAAGTGTTAAGGTTACATATATTGCCCATGCCCCTCTCCTCCCTCGAGTAAGAGCTTCAAGCGTGTCCATCCCCCAAACGTTGCACATGAGGCTTGTTTCTTTAAATTCATCTTATTTCAGCTTATAGGGCTTTAGGACCAGAGCAGCTTTTGGTTTTGAGTTGGAGAGAAAGTTTTACAATTAGTGCCAAATATTGGAGGAAATTAGGAGAATTCAGGATCTAGTCTAGTCTACATTTAGATAAGGACTTGACAGTGCACAGGGCTACAGTTTAATAACAGGTTTATTATAGGTTTTTGGGTTTTTTTTAGAAAAATAACTTTTTTTTCTCTATGTTGATCACATAGGAATCTCAGATTTAAAAACCTCTTGAGGCTAGGAAGCCAAACCAAGGCAGATTTTAGATTTTACTTATAATCTTAAGGTTCTTGGGCCTACCGGGAAGTGACAGTTTTTACTTACTGTAAGGCTGGCAACTCTTGAAGTCATGTGTGAGACATTTCAGTCAAAGCCTCCGTAATATAACCAATGTTTCCAATTGTATCCTGCTTATAATTAGAGAGCAGATTTTTATTAAATTTATATAGATAAAAATAAGAGTACTCACAAATAGTTTCTGAATTTTAGAGGAGTCAAGTAGGGAGAAAAAGCAAATGCCTTCACCTCTTTCACAAAAGTATACTTTACCAAATTGGTGTAAACTCTAGATAGCTTATGAGAGAAACATTTCGTAAACCTGGAAAACAAAACATTTAAGGAACAAACCAACAATGATTTAAATAAAAGTCAAAAGCATTATCTTTATCAGTTACTTAATTTCTTTTTCTTTCTTTTCTTTTCTTTTTTTTTTTTTTTTTTTTGAGACAGAGTCTCACTGTTTCACCCTGGGTAGAGTGTAGTGGCGTCATCATAGCTCACTGCAAACTTAAACTCCTGGGCTGAAGAGATCCTCCTGTCTTAGCCTCCTGAGTAGCTGGGACTATAGGTGTGTACCATGTCGCCCGGCTAATTTTTCTATTTTTAGTAGAGACGGGGTCTTTCTCTTGCTCAGGCTGATCTCTAACTTCTGAGTCCAAATAGTCCTTTTGCCTTGGCCTCCCAGAGTGCTAAAGTTAATTTTAGGTCAGAAACAGTTAATTCAGGACTTTGATCTTGAGAGGAAACCTGCCAAAGATATCAAAAGAGTCAAAGGATTACAGGCATGTGCCACTGCACCTGGCCTTTAATTTCTTGTAATTAAATTTTTGTTTTGCTTGATCTTGATTAGCAGTTTTATGAACCCATCAGTTTTTTTTTTATTACAGTTCTGGAAATCTTTATTTTTATATTTAATTTTAATTTATTTTTTATCTTTAGTCCGTTCATCTTAAAGGTATCAGAAATCTATGTTCAAGAGTCTTTTCCATGTAAAGTAGTTTGGACTATAGCTAATTGCCAACATTTTTAGAGAAGAATTCAGAACAATAACTATGGATAACAAAAACTTAGAATGGCCATGGTTAAGATCTGATAAAAATTCTCAATACAAGGAAATTTAGTTAATTTTATTACATGCAGCATTTTAAGATAACAACCGGAATCATGACCAACAGTATCACATGAGGACCATCAGACTTTTATAAGTTTTGTATAATCTTCAGAATACATTAATAACATATCCATACAAGTATGACCTTAGGAGAGATTTAACATAACAATCAAAATTATGACTGATAATGTATTAGATTTTTATGAATTTATACAATTTTTAGGATATTTATATCAATAACATCCACATATATATAACAAAAGAAGATCTAGTGTCACATATCATTTGACAGTGGTTCCCAGATAATTTACAAAATATGTATATTTATTCCTTTGGGGCTTTCCAGGGGCCAACCCAACTAGAAAATCCTAAAGTTAATTTTAGGTCAGAAGCAATTAATTTAGGATTTTGATCCTGAGGAAACCTGCCAAAGATATCAAAAGATTCAAAATACTTGATCAAAACAGAATCACAGGTCACTGTTAAATAATATTTACTTAATCATAGTGATAATCAAAAGACTTTAAAAGCAATATGGAAAGCTACATGGATATAAAAACTTCAATCCTTTTAAAGGTCAGTTTTTCTAAGTACTCAAAAACTTAATAAAGACAACATAGGAAATTATCTTGATAAAATGTAAAAACTTTGGCTTTTAATTTTAGACCAGTTACCAAAAACATAAAAAAACCACAAAAAACAAAACCTTTTGTAGTTGATTGCTTCTCCTAATGGGAAGCACTTTTTTTATAACCTGGAAGTGAAGCCTGATGAAAAGGCTACTTGAGTTTAATCAACCACAGGAAAAGTGTGTCCAGAGTCAGGACTGTAGTATAGAGGA